CTAGCTTTACATTTTATTGTTTGATTATCATTTTATTAAGCTAGTGTTTATATTGAGTTTAGTTAATTTTATTTATCTCTTTGTACACACATAACCATTGAGCTTATTGTATTTTCATACTTAGTATAATTTGGGTTGTGGAATTTTGTGACTTAGAGTGTGAGCTTACATTGTGTTCTCATCCATTGTAGAGAACAAATTTATTTGTATTTGTGCATAATTATGATGATCACTTTGTAATACACTTGTACACCAAGAGGAGTGTGTGGTGAGGACGGAGTCGATACCGAGAGGAGTGACGTCGGTGGCCTAGTGAGAGGTGATAATTCCGAGCACTTGAGGGAGTCGATACGTGAGGACCAACACTTGAGGTTGTAGCTTGTGTATGTACATTGTGAGGTAACCGAGTGTGTAGAGTTTTCGGTTAGCTAGAAAACCGAATGTGTAGAGAAGTTCCGGCTTCCAAACCGGGTTGTGTAGTGGATTCTCCTCGAGAGTGAGGAGCGGGTACGTAGGACGGAAGGTCCGAACCTCGTGAACATATAGTGTGTTTGGTTTGCATTGGCGCACTTATAAATGTTCATCTTATAGCCTATTGCATCTTGTTTGTTTCACCCTTGTGATAGTTTATATATCCTTACATACATCATATAGTATATCTCATTGCTAGGATATATCACCTTTGTTCATATTGCATATTCTTGCTCATAAGTAATTGTATATCATCTTGCAAAAACATATTTGTTAATAAGTTTTAAATTGGCATAAAATCGGATTAGATTAGCATAAACCCTATTCACCCCCCTCTAGGGTTCTTTCCTAGTGTCATTAGGGTCTAACATCCTCTAGTAGATCTGCACTCATTTGGTTCTGAGCACCAACTCGCATCTGAATAGTCTTCGATTACAGTCGGATGTCCAGTGTAGAATAGGCCCAGACCTGTAGTTCCTTTTAAGTATCTCATCAATATCTAGACAACATCCCAATGAAGCTTTCCAGGATTTCTTGTGAACCTACTAAGCATTCCTACAGTGAATGCAATGTCTGGCCTTGTGCAGCTCATCGCGTACATGAGACTCCCAATGATCTTTGAGTACATTAGCTGCTTTACTGGTATTCCAGTATTTGGTCGAAACTTCTTGTTATAATCGTATGGCACGGATAGTTCTGACAGGTCGTTATAACCATACTTCCTTAGCATGCTCTCGACATAATGAGATTGGGACAATCCAATACATTCTTTAGAATATATGATTTTGATTTCGAGAATCACGTCCGCAGTTCTAATGTCCTTCATGCTGAACTGTGCTGATAGGAATTTTTTGGTAGATATTACTATCTCCAAATCACTCCTGATGATGAGCATATCATCCATATAGAGGCAAATGACCACCACCTTTCCTTCAGCAACCTTGATGTATAGGCACTTATCAGATTCACTGACTTGATACCCATTGTTACGAACAATCCCATCGAACTTCTCATGCCTGAGTTTTGGTGCCTGCTTAAATCCGTATAGAGACTTAATAAGTTTACAAACTTTACCAGTTAGAGCATCAAGTCCTTCTGGTTTCTCCATGTAAATCTCTTCTATGAGATCTCCATTGAGAAAGGCAGCCTTTATATCCATCTGATGTATGACGAACCTTTTAATCGCCGCCCATGCGATAAGCACTCTGATGGTAGTGATCCTGCAAACTGATGCGTAGATATCAAAAAAATCTATACCTTCTTTCTGAGAGAATCCTTTCGTCACCAGTCTTGCTTCTTATTTTTTAATAGTACCATCAGGACGAAGCTTCTTTTTAAAGATCCACTTGTAACTGATAGACCTTGCACCTTCAGGTACATCCACCAGCTCTCAAGTGTAATTTGGATCAATGAATCCATCTCATCATCTATAGCTTCTTTCCACAGAAGAACGTCTGTTGACTGCATTGCTTCTTGAAAAGTCTGTGGATCTCCTTCCACATTATAGGTAATAAAGTCATCTCCAAAATCTTTCTGTCTCCTGACACGCTTAGAAGATGATTCAGTAACTCCTTCATCATTGACACTTTCAGTTTCTTGTGAAACTGGCTCCTCTTGTGCATTTGACCTACTAGCATTCTGTGCTATATCTTTGAGCAATAAGCCTTTAATTTTGATAAACTTATCTTCAAAGAATTCTGCATCCCGAGCTTCAATGATGGAGCTGGTTCCAAGGTCCAGGAACATGCACACATTGCTATCTTCAGCAAAGCTAAGAAATATACATTTGTTTGCCTTTGGTCCGAGCTTAGACCTTCTGATATCTAGAACTCGAACATATGCGAGACACTCCCACACTTTGAGATTATCCAAAGAATCTGGATATCCCAACCATAACTTATGAGGAGTATTATCAGTTTTGGAATAAGGTACTCTGTTCAGAATCTAGTTTACTATCAGTAAAGCCTCTCCCTAATAGCAGGTAGGTAAACTAGATATGATTAGTATCGAATTCACTATCCTGGTTAATGTGCGATTCTTCCTTTCTGCAATCCCATTAGATTGTGGAGAATACAGAACAGTAGTTTCAGCAATGATATCATGCGAAGTATGCTTCCGACTCCTTAGATCGGTACTCTCCTCCTCTGTCGCTCCTGAGTTTTTTCACCTGCAGTCCAAGCTGTTTCTCCACTCGAGTCCAAAACTCGACAAACTTGCTGAAGGCTTCATCTTTAGATTTTAGCAGGTAAACATGACAGAAGCGAGAATGATCATCAATGAAGGTGATGAAGTACTTCTTGCCGCCACGAGTGACGAAGCTCTTGAAGTCACAAGTATCTGAGTGAATCAGATCCAACAGGTTGGTGCTCCTCGTGACACTTGAAAATGACTTCCTCGTCAGCTTTGCTTGACGCAAACTTCACACTTCTCAGGTTTGTTATCCCCATATTTTGGAAGTAATCCTAATTTCTCCATGCTCGATAACTTTTTATAATTTACATGTTCCAGCTTATTGTTCCATAGAGGAGTAAGCAAAAGAGGATACTTTATTTATAACGGGATTGGGTGCAATTGTACTGATTTTATACATGCCATCAGTACGATATGCATTGTCAAAATATATTTTCTTGAAGGATAACACAGTCTTTCCTCCTTGAAAATCCGGCTTCATGCATTTACAACAAGATTGGGTACACTCGTACTAATTTTATACATGTCATCAATATGATATGCATTACTAAAATACATTTTCTTGAAGGATAACACAGTCTTTCCTCCTTGGAAATCCAATTTCATGCCTGCATCACACAATAGGCTTTCAGAGACTAAGTTTTTGGCAATTGAGGGAACATGTTTCACATCCTTCAATGTGAGAGTCTTCCCTGAAGAGAGAGTCAGTACCACCGTCCTAATTCCAAGAACAGAAACCACAGAATAATCAGTTATTGATACGTTCTTTGGCAGCAACATAAGAAGAGAATAGATCTCTGTTGGAGCAGACATGACAAATAGCACCTGTATCTAACCACCAACCAGAGATGTCGTTAGGAGTTGTTATCTGGAAGAACATAGCCACACAATCATCAACTTGATTGGCATTGTGCGTTGTTTCCTTCTTTGGTGCTTTGCAGTCTTTAGCAAAATATCCTTGCTTCCCACAGTTGAAGCATATGCCACTCTTCTTGAACTCCTTCTTCTGGACGTTCAGGTTCTTTGGATTCTGGTTCTTCCTTTTGTTAAAGAACTTCTTATTCTTATTGAAAGATGAATGATTATCATTCTCAGAATTAGCAGCCACCATGTTAGCAGATGCCTTCTGCTTAGCAAGGAGCTCAGTCTTCGTGCGAGTCTGAGTCTCGTCCTCGATCCGAATGAACCTCTTCAGATCAGATAGAGTCACATGTCTTTTCCTTCTCCGAATGTCAGTGGAGAATGACATCCAAGATAGAGGAAGCTTGTTGACAATTACACCAGAAATAAAGGTTTGACAAAGATTAATCTTTTCATCATTCAGCTTCATAACAAGCTTTTCAAGCTCTTTAACTTAAGGTAAAACCTCAGTGTCATCTTCAAGCTTGAGGTCAATAAACTTGTTAATGAGGTGAGATTTGGACAGCTTCTCGTCATCCTTGTACTGGTCCTCCAGAGCGTTCCAGATTTCCTTTGCAGATGGCTTGTTGGTGTAAGCATCTGCTAGATGATCAGCCAGACAGTTAAGAAGGTAACTCCTACAGAAGTGATCATCTCTAGCCCAAAAGACTTCAGTTTCAGAGTCTTCTTCAGATCCGAGTTTCTCCTTAGAAACCACATAGTAGATTTTTAGGAGTTGCATCCCGAATATCACTTTCCGACGCCATGCGTTGAAGTTGAATCCGTCAAAATTCTCTAACTTAAGACAGTCCACTCCAAGAGTCCTTGTAGGATCCATGTATGGTAGATCAGAATATTACTTTAAGATTGTTAGAACCTGTGGTTAAATATGAAATAATATAGATATAAAGCAGCAAATAACTGAAGAAAGCTAAAGTGCAGTAATTTTAAAATTTTCCAACTCAGCTGTTGTGCGTTTGTAAAACACTGTGTTTAAAACAATATTTGACCTACTCCGGTGCAAGGATCTCAAAGACAAATTGCTTTCAGGAACAATAGTACAGTACTTTGGTGTGCACCAACCCAGTACTATCAAGATCTCCTTGATCTATAGGATCTCTCGGTCAAGGCAACGATCTCCTCGATCTATAAGACCTTCTCGGTCCAGGCAATGTTCCTACGAGCACTAGCTATTTTATAACATATATCTGTATATATTGATTGTTGTTTTTGGAATAAATTTTCTTTAAGGATTTAGGGTCTATTTATAGCGTTTGGGAAAATACTATGTACTAGTAAAATAATATTATTTTACTATTCATATGGGACCCACGTCCAAATTTTCTTCAGTGGGGCCCACCACTTTTTCATTTTTCAACATTTGCCTAACTTTAGGCAGCAGCCCATGTGATGTTTTGATAAAAAAATTAATATCCAACAAAAAGAAGCCAAAAATCTGCCTTTGACAAAGCCTGCATCAAAGTAAAGTCTTATGGTCTTTAGATTTTTCATCTTCTACTTCACTACGAATAGCCTCATGCTACACACTAGATTGCTCAGATTCAAAAGCCTTCTCGTTTTTGGGTACAAACAAAAGACACTCTTGGTCTAGGGAGGTATCATCAGTACAAAAGGTGAGAAGCAACGGAACCACAGTAGGGGGAATACTAGGAGAAAGAGAAGGACAACTGTGAATGAGATAGTCACAGAACTGCTCAGGTCTACTAGATCTTCATGAAGCACGACAACCATCAGATATGTGGCAAGAAGTAGACACAAACTGTAAATGAATACAAAGGTAGAGTTATCGCTTGATCGTAATTGTTTGTGCCCTCCAACAGGTTTGACAATGAACATTAATGCGATAACAATCATTGTGGGCCTGACAGCAACGTAAAAGATTAGTGTGGCAGGATCAGGCTTGTGAATCATTGGGTATATTTCGGTCAAGATTGCAACACTTAGACCAGTAAAGCCCTTCAAGGTTCCAACTACTGGCCCTCTACTATCGGGAAAAATCTGTATGCATGAAATTAGATCAGCTGTGCTGCAATAGGTTGATCCGTTGCCTCCCAACGAATATAAGGATGCATACCTGTACAGAGTAAAATAAGGAGTCACATAATTTGTATAGATTTGCAATGCAAAATCACTAGCTTAATAAGGAGGCTAGCAGAAAATAAGTGCAAAATTGCTTGTCTTAGATAAGAGCACAGGGTAATCAACGACCAAAATCACCAGCTACATGCAAGCAATAGAAGTTGACTTAATTACAATGCATGATGAAGCATATGTAAGGTGTAAAAAACTATCCAGACTAATCTCGGAAACTAGAGAATTTAGCAGATACTGTAACTGATGTAGCTGCAATTAACCAAGTTCTAGCAGTTGGGTAAGCAGTAAGCACCAGTAAGATTTTTACTTGTATTTCAAGAAAATCAAGCTGCCAAATGAGTCCATTTAGATCTGCACAACAAAATAAAGTTGAATGCTTGGGTTTTCCTGGCTTCAGCTGCCGGTGCTTAATTTAATATCTTGAAGACAATAACAAATCTGATTTTTGTTGTTATTACTTCAATATCTTGAAGACGACAATGTATCTGATTTTTGTTGTTATTACTGGTGTTGTGTAAATGTATGCATTTGATTCACATATATTTGTCACACAAAGTATCATTTGGTAATTAGAAAATTCTGAGAAGTGTGTTCATAAGTTAAGATTAGCTATCTCACGTTAGCAATTGCCTTTGCCTCTGATAGAGCTGTGAAATATCATTGATATGTATACTTGTATTCCTTTTCTTTAGTCACATATTGCCTCCTATACTTACATGTAAGCACATTAAAATAACAAAGAGACTTATCCAATTTTCTCCCCGATCATCTAATCTTAACATGGTATTAGAGCTATTCATCAGATCCCACCTCAACATCCCAACCACCCACACGATCCCTAGCCAATCCCAAGCCCGTGGACCCCACCCTCAAAAGCTTACATAATTCATGAGATTTGTCCCATTACTCGCGTAATTCACTAAAATATGTCTTCACAGTGCATAAATGTCACGATACTCACAAGCTTTTTGCTTCTCCATTTCGCGGAGATCATACTTTGATCATGCACACCAGCTCTGATCTTCCACTTCCGGATTAGATCCAATATGATAATGATCTAAATCGAGCCATCGCCATCCGATCTTCAAACACATGCTACAGGCAAATCCTATCCATGTAATCAATTTCGTTCTATCTCACTGCTATGACAACAGGAGATCCATTCCTTGAACAAACCATCGATGTTAAACTTGATAGCGATAATTATCGCATTTGGTCCAACACTTTGTTCAACATCTCTGAAGATTACACAATCACGACAATTATATAGTTGGTATCTCCATCTATCCATCTTCAACTCGAATGGTTCAAGTCAACGACATTCCTCCGGGATCTCAAACGCTTCTACACTCAGTTAGTTTGTTTGTGCACCTCATTTGTCTCACCACTTTGCACTACTTTTGAGTACTTCGTTGCCTCTAAGACATGCCAACAAGAGCGCTCTTCTTCTTAGCCTCCTCAACATTCACCTTAAGTGCCTACAGTACGCAGATTGTGTAGGCAATGTCACAGATTGCAGATCCACCATTGGATACTCTTTATCTTTCTTGGTGATTTCCTGAAAGTTCAAGAAACAAAATGTTGTATCATGCTCCACCGCCAAATATGAATACTGAGCTATGGCTTCCACCACTGCCAAGATCATTTGGCTACGATGCCTCCTCAACATCGGAGTTCCTTGTCCAACAACTTCTCTTCACTATGATAACATAAGTGCTACTAACATTGCCAGCAATCCTGTCTTTCACGAACGAAAAAACACATTGAGATAGACTGCCATTTCTTTCGTCATCACATCCTTGTCGAAACTATCACCCTTCCCAACGTGAACATCAATCTTCAAACCTTTAATTGGAGGAGTTCTTCACCAAGACTAACACTATTAAATGACATCTATTCCTTATCGGGCAATTCTTTGGTAGATCTAATTTATAGTGTGGGGCGAGGGGTTGCGGGTGGGTAGTGGGGGGGGGGGGTTGATGTTAAATACCCATGATATATATTACGTATACTGGTATCCCTTTTCTTAAGTCCTATATCGCTTGGGATACTAGACCACTCACTCCTATACTTGTATATAAACACCTTAATATAATGAAGAGAATCATCCAATTATTTTTCAAAATCATCTGATCTTGACAAGGATAAAAGAAGAACAAGGAAATAATAAAACTGGCCCTTTGTCTCTGTTTGACAATCCCACAATAACCAACCCAGGTTTGGTTTCTTTTTTAACCAGGTCAAAATTAGTCCACGTAGGTAGACTAATTTTTATCGGCCTAAAATGAAATAATAAAACTGTGCTAGAATCATTCTAAAAACAGTAAATTGACATTGATACACTCATTCTCGAAGGTCATTCTACAAATTATAGGCTGACGTTCATAGACAAAGGAAAACCTACATAAGAAAGCACCAAAAAATAACCAAAAATAACCAAAAACATACCCAAAAAGCCCATTTGAAAGTAGACACCATAAGGGACCCCAAATTACTCTAAAGAAATAAGTATTATATATACACAGGATAAAAGAATCTCACAACGTTTGGAGAACAAATGATAGAGAGAAACAAAAAATGGGCACCTTTCCCAGATATTGATTCCTTCTGCTGATTTCTCATTTCCTCTCCACGAATGCACATAAAGATACTGTGAGCAAAGTTCACATAAGCAACATTCACTTCAATTCACTGCAGCACGAACCACCCGTGTGGTTTTCCCGTAAAGGTTGGCATAGACAGACTTGGTTTTATGAACAAGAATCAAACTTAAGGTCATCGCAACAATGCAAAATGCACACATAATCAATGAAGAGAGGAAGAAGCACACTGCACCTTCACACTTTGATGCCTCATCGACACCAAGACTAGTTCCATAGGCTAATCTACCAAGAAGAGATTGTTGTGAATTATGTTGTTTGTGCTGTTGCTCCGCTTCATAGTCATATATACCACTGACAATAACACCTGAGAATATCAGTGAACCAACCGGACTTGCCATGGTGAGAACATTATACAAGGCCCCAAAGCTTTTAAGTCCAAAGAGATCAGAGGCAGTTGCGGGTACAATTGACCAGTGAGCTCCATATCCAAGCCCAATCAGCAGCGTCCCTATGTACATTGTTCCAGGCCAAGCCATAGCGAAGAACAAATGACCGATTGCCAATAGAACCTGAGCTGCAGCTAAGGCTACAGGCCTTGGGTATGAATGTTCACTGATTAAAGAAAGAGAGCAATAGAACTTGTTTAGTATGCTTCTATAGAAAATAAGGCCTCGTTTGGTACAATGGGAAGAGATGGAATGGAATGCTCATTCCCACTTCTCATTCCCGCATACCAAACACAACAATCTTCTAGAAGTTGGAATGCCCATTCCCTAGTATTGCTCATTACCACATTATGTGGGAATGGTCATTCCCATTGAGTTGTCAAGGAATGGACATTCCCACTTAAGTGGGAATCAAAAGAATTTAATACTGGCTATGTATTTCACAAACTAATTTTAAAATAATCATATCCTCATTGCTTAACACATTCAGAAACATTTCTTAAAAATAGTGTTTGTATTTTTTTTTTTCTCCGCTTGACTGCATAAACATAGATCCTCCTCTCCTCTAGGTACATCCATTTCAATGCCTCGTTGGCCTTTCCTCAAGTCACAGGTTATGGTTATTGAATTCAATGCAGATATCCTTATCATTTTGAAATAAAGTCCCAGTTGGATAATGGCCTACTAAAATATATTGTTTTCTTTTGATTTTTATTTGTTACTAATGCAAGTTCACTAATGTCTCCTGACACATGTTTTCTTGATAGATAAACGGCAGTGTTGGTCTTGATAAAGTTTATCCAAGTTAATGATTAATCTAAAATATAATTATCTATATCCAATAAAAAGTTTCTATGAATTTTTTCTCGATTAGTAAGTCAAAAGATCGAAATTGTTGATGACGTAGTGTGCCAGAATAAAAGCATCCCATTAAAAATTAGTTCTAACAAAAAACTGAGAAACTATTTTTATAAAATTATTTCTAAAATAAAATTATTTAGTCACTATTAATAATTTTTTATATTTTCAATTTCTCTGTTGTTGTAAGGACATTATCAGAAAACCATATTCTATTCTCACTTGTTAACAAACGATACCAAACATGCGAAGAGAAATGAGATGGTCATTCTCGTTTCATTGTCTAATTGTGCACCCAAACACAAGAATGGGAATGCACATTCCATTCCCACATTGATTCCATTCCATTCCTCACTTCATTCCATTCTCGCTTGACTCGACTCCCGCATACCAAACTAGGCATAAACAATAACCTCTGGATTAAACTTTTATTAGACAGCCTGAACCTTAACTGGAAAGCAATAAACATCTAGTTCACAGAGCTCACAGCAGAAATGGCCGTGGAAAATACCTTATGATGGTCTCAGAAATATAACCTCCACCGATTCTTCCCAGAAAATTCCATATGCAGATCATAGACACATAAACATGAGTTTCTTCATAACCTAGAGATTGGCTTATTTGTCCCAAGTTATCAATGACTGTCAAACCAGAACCTGACCCCAACACAAGAGAAAGAAAAAGAAGCCAAAAATCTGCCGTTTTCAAAGTCTGCAACAAAGAGAAGTCCAAAATTTCATCTTCTACTTCACTAGGAATAACCTTATGCTGGTCACTAGATTGTTCAGATGCACAAGCCTCCTCGTTTTGGGATACAGGCAATAGACTCTCTTGGTCTGGGGAGGTGTCATCAGTACAAAACGTGAGAAGCAACGGAATCACAATAGGGAGTACTAGGAGAAGGAGAAGGACAAGTGTGAACAAGATAGTCGCAGAATGGCTCAAGTCTACTAGATCCTCAAGAAGCGTAACAACCATTAAATATGCAGCAAGGAGGAGACACACGCTATAAATGAACACAAAACTAGGGCCATCAGATGATTGTAGTTGTTTTTTCCCTCCGATGGGTCTGACGATGAACATTAACGCAATGATAATCAAAGTGGGCCCCACGGCGACCATAAATACTAGAGTGGCGTGATCAGGTGTGTGAATCATTGTGTATATTTGGGTCAAGATTGCCCCACTCAGGCCGGCAAAGCCCTTCAGGATTCCAACTACGGGCCCTCTACTCGTGGGGAAATTCTGTACACATGAAACCAGAGCAACTGTGTTGAAATTGGTTTCTCCATTGCTCCCAATGAAGATAAGGATACAAATCTGTACAGAGTAAAATAAGGCATAAAAGGTGAATATTTATGAAGTTTATGAGAATGAGATGGCAGAGCTACATACTCAGTACATACTTCCAGTGCGGTATCATTAGCTTAATCAGATTAGCAAATGAAACAGCTAAAGAGTGAAAGTAAAATAAATACAAAGTAGTTTGTATTTGACTAGCGCACAATGCAATCTATAAGACCAAAACCACCAAATGCATGAAAGCAACAGAAGTTGCGTTAATTAAATGACAATGCTAGATTAAAATTGCCAAATTCAGTATCTTAATGCAACCATGAAGATTTACACGAAATATATCTATTTTTCATGTGCCAATTGTCCAAAATTATTACAACAAGAACCAATACGTAACAACGTGCTTGTTACACTCAATGTATATCAGTAATGGAAAGAAGGTCCATCATTCCAACAAGGCAACATATAGTCACGACCCACACGACTTAATACTCATTTGACGTCTTTGGTTTTAATTAACTTAGATTTAGGGGGTGTTTGGTTGCACAATTTTATAGAAAATTTTTCTCAAAATGTCTGACAATGGTAATTCTGTAATTAAAAAATTTCTATAGATTTCTGTAAAGTGTGTTTGGTTCAAAAAAAAAAGTTATAGAAATGTTTTCTATAAAGTACCAAAAAATACCAAAATTTACAGAAATCAATTTCCTCTCAAAATGGACGGAAATCACCCAGAAATCTGACACCACATTGGCATTTTTCTATAAAGTTGACACTTTTCTATAAATTTAGGGGGTGTTTGGTTCAATTTCTACAAATTATAGGAAATCTTACTATTTTCTATAAAGTTATGGGCTATTTTCTTGTTTTGAACCAAACAAGCAAAGTAAAAAAAACAAGAAAATTGGTACTTTTTCAATTCTCAAAACTTTTCCTATAATTTTTTTAAGAAATGCAAGGAAATCATATTTTGTGCGGAAAACATTTCCTATAATTTGTAGAAATTGAACCAAACACCCCCTTAGCTAAATTACTAAATCTCAGTGATACGAAAATATTATAATATTGTTACCTTATTAGAAGCTCCACTCATGGTGATCCTCTCACACAAGAAATGAATGATATAAAAACTTCTTCTGGAAATTCTCAACGCTTATAATTAGATGAAAGCATAGTAAGCATGTCCTTCGTTCTCTCGAATAAAAGACAAAAAAAATCAAAAACACATCTCTCCAAAGTTATTCAAGAGTGAGAAACAAAATGAGAGACATCCAAAGTTATATACCCCTTAGAACCATAAGCTATTCAAATCTTCTACCATATAATTACAGTACTAATTAAATGGTTATTACCTAATTTTAATTTAATAACTTTCTGTAGATGACTTCAGTGTTCTCATCTAAACTTGTACATCATATCGCTTTTATCCATCTATCTTATTTCTTAAACCACCTTCTTCTACTACCATGACACAACACAGTTGGTTTGGATCTAGAATCAATATTCGGTCCACATTACTAGAGTATCGTTGACACATACAAATTGCTATTTTGAGAAAAAATAGCAGACAAGAAATCAATGCGAAGGCTCTCCTTGTCTCTCTAAAAACACAAATCAGGCACATCAAAAGATCAAACGTGGGTAACACATACAAATTGCTATTTTGAGAAAAAACAGCAGACAAGAAATCAACACGAAGGTTCCCCGTGTCTCTTTCAAAACACAAATCAGGTACATCAAAAGATCAAACGTGGGCATCACAACGAATTGATCAACTACACTATAAACAATAAAAGGAGGTCAAAAGGAAACCATTTCCCTTGACAAATAGACTAATTATAGTTCTGCAACCTCAATCCGCCAAAACCCTAAACCAAAATTCTTTCTAATTACTAGATTTTGACCTGAATCCATCAACCTCTGAAGGTTGCCTGCATAATTAAGCAGAATACAACACTGTACAATGAGAAACTCATGTAGAATTAATCAACCAAAATCTCAAAAGGCCCGACTAATAATTGCAAGGACACACAAACCTCTAGGCAACAAATTTCAAGAAAAATTACCAGTGTTCATCTCCACTCACCATCGAAAGAGGCAAAGGCACAGCTCGGCCGGTGATAACGAGCCAAATCCACCCATATCCAATCAAATTCTGAAGGGAACCAACAAGAAGAGCAGACCAAAGAGGGAGGATCTCACTCAGGGTCCCAGATAAGAACCCAATACTGCCACCAAGATCCTTGGCAACCCCAAGAGTTGCGATCTGACGCTGGTTGTAGCCCAAGGAGCTCTTGATGACAGGGGAGATGCTCCCAAAGAGGTAGCCAGTCCCTGCAAAAGATTGCATCCACATGGCACCCACAAACACAAACCATTTGTTGTTGAAGAAGGATGAAAGCTTGCTATGGAGTCCAGTCATTTACCAAGGTCTGATGGAAAAGATGAGATTTTGATGCTTTTTTGGGAGAATACCAGAATGGGAATTTTGGAGGAGAAGGTACAGATTTGGGGTTTACATGTTTTTAGGAAACATTGTGTCAAGCCCCAAAAATGAAAAATTCATGTGGTCATGTGGTCCAGCCTCCGACCCTGTCATCTCCCTCTCCTGGCTGCCCCGCTGCTAACGTGAATGAGAGGTTTTTGTCTACTTTCCTGCCTCATTCGGCCCTCGCCTCCGTCTCCGTCTTTAGTAAGGGGCTGTTTGTTTCGCTCAAATTTGAGCTGAAAGCGACGTAAAAGCCTATTTTGAAAACTGACGGATGTTTGGTTTGTTTTTAGCGGCGAAAAAAAAGGGGGCTGAAAGCGGCGATTCGCTGAAAGTTGTTTTCCGTTCCAAAAACCCCGATTTTGGTGTAAAGTGCTCAAATCTCGTTTCCCCCCCTCCCCTCCCCTTTCACCCTAGGTTTCTGATCACCGCGCCGTTCCTTCCCTCCATCTTCTCCCGCCACCTGCTCTTCGCACGTTCTTGAGAGCTTGCGGTTGATTTGGCATTTTGGAAGGTCGCTGTTCTTGTTCTTGTGGTTGATTTGGGGATTTTGCCTGACGATCGCTGTTCTTGTTCTTGCGGTTGATTTGGGGCTGTTCTTGTTCTTGCGGTTGATTTGGGGCTGTTCTTGATCTTGTGGTTGATTTGGGGATTTTGCCTGACGATCGGTGTTCTTGTTCTTGCGGTTGATTTGGGGTTGTTCTTGTTCTTGCGGTTGATTTGGGGATTTGGCCTGACGATCGCTGTTCTTGTTCTTGCGGTTGATTTGGGGATTTGGCCTGACGATCGCTGTTCTTGAGAAAATTGATCGCTACTCAGGTAAAAAACCCTAAACGCTGTTCTTGTTCTTGCGGTTGATTTGGGGTTGTTCTTGTTCTTGCGGTTGATTTGGGGATTTGGCCTGACGATCGCTGTTCTTGAGAAAATTGATCGCTAACATGAATATTAGTAGCAATTTCATTTGGTCTTTGCGTAAAAACAAATTAGTAACATGAGTATAGTCGAAAAACATTTTAAGTCTTTGAATGAAGGGAAATGAATCAATTTTTATGGTTAGAAACTACTTGTCTGCATTCAATTAGTTGATAGGTACATAGATATGGACTTTCTTGTTCTTGAGCATGGCTTTGGGTTTTGAAGAACTGAATACGAACTAAGAAACAAATTGATGATTAATTTGAAGGCAAACATTGAATGTGGTGACAAACTATAAGCTTTAAGTGTGTAAAATCTCCGATAGCTCATTTGAGTGACTTATTAATGGCATTCTTCTCTATAAGTACACATATTGTTAAATTACCATTTTTCTTGACCTAGGGATAAGAAGAGAAAAATATGTATTTATAATTGTGGGTCATGGACCAGGCTTGAAGTCATCATATTGAACAATGTGACCTGATTTTGTCTGCATTAGTTTCCAAATATATTTTTAAACCCAAGTCTAATAGCTTTGTCTTTTCATTTTGCACGTAGGACCTTAGCGATATAATTAGACAACCATCTTCATTTACTGTGACTATCTGCTTTAATATGACGTTTGTATTTTAGATGGATGGTGATCTCGATGAAGAAACCGTAGTTAATATGTGTTCGGGTGCTGTACTATCTGTCTTGGTTATGGTTATGGTATTCATGAGGAGAATGCAAAGTAGACGTAGATCTATACGTGCATGTCCTAGTGAAGAGAAAATAATACAATATCAAAATAGAAAACAACACCTAGATCGCATATATAATGGATTTAGTGATAGTTGTGTCAACTATGTTAGAATGCGAAGTGGTGCTTTTATGAAGCTTGCAGAGATATTGAGGAGCAACGATTTATTACGAGACTCAAGACATGTTACAGTGGAGGAGCAACTTGCTATGACTTTGAATATTTGGGGCATAAAACTAAAAATCGAAGTATTAAAGGAGCAACTAGCTAATTATAACAATGCTTGTATAATTATTTTTGTATGTAAATGAGCGTAATTATTTTTGGATGTAAATGAGCTAGATGATTGCTCATCATTTTGCCTAACAACTATGGTACATATATTAAACTTACATTTGTACAAAACTAATGCTACTACCTCTATTTTCATGCATCTCAGTCGTGGCTTTACATGTTAAATTATAAACTTGGTATGCTAATGCAAACTTGTTTGACAGGTTTACAAGTGGGGTTCTATAATGATTTTCCCTCGATAAATCCAAGTCTAAAGAGGTATGCATTTTATGTGTTATGATGATGGGCTTCATTGTTGAAGATATGCAGCTAGAGTTTATACTAGTAATCAATTGGCGAGGCAGTATATGCAGCCAACATTGCTATTATAAACTTCATGGCGAGGCATATAATGAAGAAAAGAGCCTTTTCTGAGCACAAATGGCCAACATTGTGTTGGCCTGAGGTTGGTCCTTTCTATACGTGCAGCCTGGATTTGGTGTTTGTTTTTTCTTTGTCATTTGGTTGTGTTGGCCTTGGTTGCATACTGGTTTTTTCTTGTTTCTTGGCAGTTTGTTGTGGGAGAGTTGGTTGTAGCAGCTTGTTGCTTGGGGTTTGGTTGTGTTGGCCTCGGTTGCAGCCTGGTTTTTTTCTTGTTTCTTGGCAGTTTGTTGTGTTTTCCTTTGTTGCAGCAGCTTGTTGCTTGGGGTTTGGTTGTGTTGGCCTCTTGTAGATCTCATTTCTTGGCATTGTGTTGTGCTTTCCTCGTGTTGCAGCAGCTTGTTGCTTGGGGTTTGGTTGTGTTGGCCTCTTGCAGATCTTATTTCTTGGCATTGTGTTGTGCTTTCCTCGTGTTGCAGCACCTTGTTGCTTGGGGTTTGGTTGTGTTGGCCTCTTGCATCTCTTGTTTCTTGGCATTGTGTTGTGCTTTCCTAGTGTGCAGACTTTGGTTTTTTTTGTGTTGGCCTGCGGTTGGTCTTTACTTGGTTGCAACCTGGATTTGGTGTATGGTTGGTCTTTGGCATAATACTGGTGTTGGCCTCGGTTGCAGCCTGGTTTTTTCTTGTTTCTTGACAGTTTGTTGTGCTTTCCTTGGTTGCAGCAGCTTGTTGCTTGGGTTTCCTTGGTTGCAGCAGCTTGTTGCTTGGGGTTTGGTTGTGATAGTGATCTTGCAACTCTTGTTTCTTAGCATTGTGTTGTGCTTGGCCTTTGGTTTCATGTTGATGCTTGGCCTTTGTTTTAATTCAGTGTATGGGTTCAACCTGCTCTTGGTCTTGGTTTCAGCTCTTGTTTGGCTTTTGGTTGGTATGCATATTTCATGTTATGATGATAGGCTATTTTTAAGATATACAGCCAAAGTTTATAGCAACAATATATTGGCGAGGCAATATATTGCAGCCAACATTGTTTTATAAACTTTATGGCGAGGCAGATAATGAAATAATGGCCTTTTCTGAGCACAACTATTATGTTGGGTAGTAATCTTACCATGGTGACCACAATTAAGTTTTCTTAATTTTTTAGTTTGAACCAAACACTAGAAAATGATGTAAAGTACTTTCACTACATATTTTCTTCTTTTTTCATGTTGATCCAAACACTAGAAAATGATGTAAAGTACTTTCACTGCATATTTTTGGGCGAAACAAACACAAGAAATATTTTTCAGGAAAGTGAAGGAAACACAAGAAAGTGAAGGAAAATCATCTATGGAAAGTGATGTAAACGAACCAAACAGCCCCTAATCGAAAGCCCAGCGTCAACATCCTCGTACGTCGACGAGATCGACGAGGCCTACGATAAAATCTGCTAACATTTTTTAGTTTAGTCCCAAGCTGTACTTTTTGTTGCTGCAAATTTGGGTCATATGTGTTATGATCGTGTTCTTTTAGAACCGCACACAATGTGTTTGTTGTTTTGCTTTAACCAGAGAACTTTGCATATGTTGAATTCAAAGGTTAAAAAATAGATTGATCTTATTATGAAAATCATGGAATTGTTTATATCTATACAAATGAAATAAAATTGAAGTAGAACTCAATTGATATTACTGTCAATCGACCTCATTTTGCTACGCTTTGGGTCGACGTATCCACTGCATGTTAACTTTTTACCTAGAACCTATTAACTATATCCACTACGTGTTACCTTTAGTCAGTGTTTGTTAATTATATCCAATATTTATTAACTTTAATTAGTTCCAGTTAACTATATTCGTCACTTATTAATTTTAGTCATTATTTGTTAAATATATCCCGTACCTGTTAACTTTAGTCAGTACATGTTAATTATGTTAACTTTATCCCTTACATGTTAACTATATCCAATACCTGTTAAATATTTTTATATATGGTCACGTTGGCTCTAGTATTTGTTTGCTTATTAATTAACACGCGATGAGAAATTGTCCAATATATGAATTATAAGTTACTTTTAATAGGTATAGATTATAGTTAACGGTTATATGTGATACTTAACCAGAACAGTTTACAGTTAATATGTACTTGTTATAGTTAACATATACATGTGATACTTAACAAGAACCATTTATAATTAACAAATACATGATATAATTAACATGTACTTGTGATACGTAATAGGAACAGGTTATCTGGAGTAGTATATCCTCTCCAAGCTCGCCTCTATCCTGAACTTGGTTTTTTGGAGTAGTATGTTAAGTGTATATGTGATATGTGGCAGTTTGGAGATTGTTTGCAAAATATTTGATGAAATTCTAAAGAGAGATGTGTGAGGTCTCTGTAAATTTACAGCTTTGATTTTGAAACAAAGCTTAGGTTTTGTAATACACAATTGTGTTGAATTAGGATTTTATGGCCCGTGCTAATGCGATGTGAGTTATCTTGTCATTTAAATGCAAAGGAGAGTACATAGTTCTGATTTTGAATGCACAATTGTGTTCAATTAAACAATTCAATTTTTGCTTTGCCCAAATAAAGACGAGAAAACATTACTATAAAGCAAAAATAAAGAAGAGAAAGCATTGGTAGTATTTACTTTAACTCCCACTATGCCATGTTACAAGCTCATTAGGATAGATAGTGGGGACTTTTAAAGATTAGTGCATATGCTCCTTCAAGTTGTATTATGACTTCTGTCACAACTTGTTAAGTTTATCAATTACATGTTAAGTTTATCTATTCAATGTTACATGTACCCATTATATGTTAACTTATATTAGGTACATGTTAACTTTAGTCATCACTTGTTAACTATATCCAGTATATGTTAACTTTAGCCAGTACTTGTTAATTATATTAGTTACATGTTACCTTTATCCAGTATATGTTAACTATATTTGATATCTGTTAACTTTAATCAGTACATGTTAACTATAT